ATTTATTTGGAAATGTAGAGAACCGCACAAAAATTATTTTTTATCCAAGATGACTAATATTAGTATTCTTGAAATTCATCATCTGACCAAGAATAATAAAAGTGATATCATAAGCGTCGAATCTTTGCAGCTCGAGATAATAATACTAACTATGCGACAGGCATGCACTAGCGCTGTGCGGCAAGTGCAAAATGCCCGTCGTGGAAAACTGTGTGAAACATTCGTCGATTGCAGAAAGGATCCCGCACCCATGTGTCTGGAGCTCCCCTTACTTTGCTCGACTCACACAAATACCGCATTTGTCTTGCCTCAGCTCCACTGGAGAAGATGAAGGAACTGCATCGGCTGTCTACTCTGCCAAGTTTCCTGGTAGCAGTTGGACGTGTCACACGCCAGCCGGTGGCAATCAATGCCTAATGTCAGGAACAGTCCAAACCAAGGAGAAGACTCAACAAGTTCACTTGCAAATAAGCATTTCCCACATGATGCAGTAGCGCACCCTTTCGTCAGCCAGCCACTGCACTCGCATGCCACAAATTGGACAGACCTGATATTCAAGACGCTCTTCCGTATCAATCTCTCGAGTGCTGCAGCAGACTCCAGTGAACCAAGAGCCAAACGGAGCGTTCGTTCCAGGCAACCTTCTCCTGCTCACCCCCAAGCGGACACGTGTTACATGAACATGAGTTGACCATCTAGGGCGAGGGCTGCGCACTTTCTGCACACCAGACATCTGGCAAAGGCAACAGCTGGTGGAATCCAGCTGGAAAGAAGCTAACTGAAGGGCGAACTCGCCGTCTATTGGCCTGCAAGGCTGCAGCCGATGGTCTGCCTTGGCCTCCACGTACTCGGCTTCTGCCGTGCCCTGCATCAGTTGCCCCACCCCCACCCCTCCTGCATTGCTGCGCATCAGAGTGGATGTGCATAAGATATGATGTCCGTGGCCGTGTCTGAACCAGAGCACGGAAGCACGGGACGGCGGTCTCACCTTTTCTCTGCCGCTTCTGGCAGTGCCAGTGGTGCCACTTTAAAGCGAGCCCCACTGTCGCCGGCCAGGGACCCTTGCACTGCCGAAAGCAATGCATTGAAATGGCTCGGTGTGGGCAGTTGACCTGGCAAAAAAAGCTGGCTGATACAATACGGCCTTCTTTCCGTCCCACCGAGTCACCGAGCAAGATTTACTGTTTCCATTGGCTGACTACACTTCCGACAAAGCATAACCAAGGCACCGTCTCCACGGAGTGTGCAAGCCACACGGCTCTTGACTGCTGCGCGAAGTGCCCGCAAAGCCAAATGAACGACCTGTGCGTTGCGAACAGTGCAAACATCATCAGCCGCACGTGTTGGCTTCGTTCGCGTGGATGTGCCAATTCAGACGGCATCACCTCAAATTCTTTTAGCGCCAGCAGCTCTTCAAACGCATAGACCTCGCCAAATGCAGTCTGGGTTGGCATGCAGCTGCTGGAACCACTGCGGTACCCGGCAAAACCAGGATCCCATGACGTCATGGTCGCTTTCTTGCGGCCAAGCAGCATGCAGGTCGAGACTGGCAGCGACACCGGGAGTGTGGCCGGCCCGAGGGTGACAGACTTTGTGCCACTCACTGACTGATGCTTTCTGCAAGCCTCCCAGAGGAGAAAAAAGACCCTGCACTCTCTGTCCGCCGCTTTTCCCGGATGCAGAAGAGGATCCACCTTGTACCCGATGGCAGATTGCCCGCCAATGATCGATGAGCTGCTGTGCATTGACCTTTCTGGTTGGATCAACCAGCAAGCTCGGACAAGTGAAAAATCCGACAGTACGACACTTAATTGCCAGAACGCCAAAATCCTGCTGTACTCACCCGCCCACCCCCCCTCTCCACCCTACATCATCAGAGCTGTCCTCATCTCGCAGAACCTCACATGACAAATGCCTTCATAGAAAGGGCTTTCCTTCGCCTGATTGCAATCATACAATGCCTTTTGGAATCTGCAGAAAACCGAAACTCAACCTCTACGCTCGAAGACGAGATCTTCAAGCATGCTTGAAGTGGTGTGCACCCTTTCATACAGATCACCATTTCTCTACGTTTCTCTTGGTTGGCTGAGCAGCATCCGGTGCCCAAACGGGCAGAACTTTCCAGCGAGGTCGGTGTTTGGTGGTGGGGCGAACCTGGGCGGACATAGATAGATTGCAAAGGTGAGAGCAGCAGTACTTACGGCCTTTGCAAATATTCAAGTCAGTTCAGCCGGGCAGCAGCGGGTTCGGAGAGAATGCCTGCGCAGCCTGGGCACCAAGTCGGAACGCGGAAAGGCTCGAAAGACCCCAGGTGCTGCTGACGCTTTTCCTGTCAGATTCAGGGCCCCACATCTGCAAATAGTCTATAGTAATATAGAGTAGAAGAAATGGTGACTCTGGGCTCAAGGGGTCTTAACCAACAGGCACCACCGAGACGTGTCACGAAGAACACCTAAAATCGAATAGGTGACTTTCTTTAGGATCGGTCAGTTTCTGGCTCCGACAAAAAAAGAAGCGAACTGAAAATGCGGCTTGACAGCTGGTGCTGGCCATCTCGGCCACGTCGGGTCGCAGCGCCAAAGGCACAGTGAGCTGATTGGCCGCGGAACTGCATGTCTTCTCTCTGCCATCAGAGCCGGTCAAGTCTCTATCTCCTCGATCTGGCTTGCTTGGCTTCGCAGGTGCCGGCTCTGGGCATCCAGAACCTTGCCCGTGCTGAAAATGCAGTTGGATACCCACGTGACAAAGAGCTCGGTAGCCAGCATCGGGGTCTATGTGGACTTTTCCATGCAGAGTCTCGGCGGTGAGGCCAGTGCTGAGGCCCAAAGCTGCCACGGCCCGATGCGCCAACGAGGTCAGGGTAGTCAGCAGAGCTTCCTGACCGCCGTGGCCCTCGGTTCCTGCCATGCCTGGACTCAGCAATGCACACCACGCGACACTTCGGTACAGTGAACGCCCTAGATACATGAATGGAACTGCCAACACCTGACAACACCAAACACGAAAATACAGGCAGTGCCGACACATGTTTCGGCCCTTCGATGGATGTCTGAAAGAGCCAGAAAACAGTCTTCTGGAATTAAAATGCATTTCTGTCAGTTGCTCGCTGGGCTGCTGCTTCAAAGGGGTTGGATGGCACTGGAGCATCGTTTGAGGCGACTGCTCCACGCAGGCCAGGCTTGGAAGGTGCTTTCAGGCTCGAAACAAACCCTGAGTAAAACCGAAGTAGGTCTGCACTGTCGTCTTCAGACTTTCGCGTACATCCACTTCACACTCAGGCCAAGTGCCACTCCACTCCGCCTGCCGCTGTCCCAAAGTGATCTTCAGTCCTACAGCTGCCGCGCAACGACCTTGCTCGCCTCAACTGAACTGCAGCCCCACAGTGGTCGCAGCAGCGCTTTCAAAGAGCCCTCTCTATGCGGACGAGCATCTTAGCTGTTGAGCAGCGCTGGCTGCAAGATCGGACAGAACTTCGAGCAACTCACTGAATCCAGCCAACCCCTCCGTGCAAGAAGTGTTCACCTGGAGCATCCTACATCCGACTCGAAACTCGGCATCAAAACCATGTACTTTGAATTTGGTCTACATCACTGCACCGATGGCACACAGATTTCGTGGTGGTGTGGATTGACCTTGCTTAACCCATCTCTGGCCGCACACCAAAAGCAGGAAACCTCGTCAAGGCTTTCGGTAGCAGCCTGGGGCCTTCATACAGTGGCCGCAACTGAAACCCAGGTCGCTCAAAGAATTAATGGAACCTTTGAAGATTCCACTTGATTCCGCTAGCCACAGACATGAAGGTGTCATATGTGATGTCTGACATGCTGTCATCGATCAGTTACTATCACGACACTTGCACCTGCAAGCTGCTGTTGCCGCGTCACCTCAAAAGCCAGTGCAGACGTTGCGAAATTCTGCTGTATCCGCTGCGGTGTCTGGCCTCAGAATCCACAGCTCAGGGCCGGTGTGCCGAGCACGCTTGTGGCAGCCAAAGCGGCTAAGATGTTCGGAATCCACTGAGACTATGGATTTCCGTCTCTTCTTGGCCGAGGCTGGCGGATCCTCGTCTTCTTCGACCTGCTGTGTGCACGGGGCATGCTGTCTGCATGCGAGCTCGACGTAGCCACGCCTGCGCAGCCGAGCATGGCTGTGTCTCCTCGCAAGTGAGATCCAGCGACCTCGAATTCGACGACGTGAGCGCGCTATGCTAAGCTACCAAGCAACTATGGCCGAACGGGTGGGTAATTAGATTCACATTGAAATCCAGGGGCTGCTGCTGCGCGACATCTTCCACATCTCCTAACATAAGCTCACTTATTCCATGGCTGTGCTCTGTGCTTCTTAGTCTACCGTCTACCTACACTGACCTACAATCTTGCAAGCTCCTCGATGGGGCACCGATACAAATGCATCCGCATCCTCGGGTCCTCCGAACCACGGAGTGGACAGACAAAGAACATGCAGCGTGCACAGAAGAAACCCCCAATGTGTCGAAACATGAGTAGGAGCTGCCTTCTGCCGGCGTAGGATTCCTCAGTTTGTGCAACGTGCTGCCCGTGTGACGTCCTCTGACTTTCCGAAACTGAGCAAACACAAGTACGGCGGCCATGTCTGCTTTCTGGCTCAGCACTTGGTTTTTCTGTTCCTTCTTGCCAGGGTGAAGGAGGGAAGCCAAAGGCAGGGAGGGAGGGAAGGGGACGAGGAGGAAGAGAATGGGGGAGGGGAGAGGAGGGAGGGGGGAGGCCGGGCGAGGGAGGGGAAGGGGAAGGGGTAGAGGAAGGAGGGGAGGGGAGAGCAGGGAGGTTGGAGAGGTAGAGCGACCTGCAGCGAACGGGCAACAGATGCAGGGATGAATCCGCATGCTGTCACTTCAACTACTTGCATCTTTTGCCGAGTGGGACTTCTCGTCTACAAAACAAAATATGTATTTGCACCTTTCCAAACACCATGGTCAGTGCTCCCGGGTGCATGGAGACCGTGATCGCGCATCATCGGCTCTCTCATTCTTGCATACCTGAGCAGCCTCCAGGGCTGCAAGGTGTCGGTCCACAATCTGGATATATTGCAACGAGGCATCAACATTTCGATAGACAAATCCTACATTGGGGTTGTGGGCGTGGGCCCTGAAGCTTTCTGGCGAGGCATTGCGGAAAAAGCAGCTGATGACCATGCGTGCATAGTCGAGAAAGCACAAGGTGTAATGATGCCAAGCCGTCTCGAAGGAAAATGCTTGTGCAGCTGCGACGGCACCACGCTGCTCCAGAAAGTCGATGAGTAGGGAATGGTATACACGCACCAAGTCCTCCTCGTGTGTAAACACGGACTCCGTCTCGACAGAATGCGACAGATGCATAGCAACGTCCGCCATGCCAAACCCAACACCTGTCCACTGAAAGTCGATCAACAGCGGCTGGTCATCCTTATCCACTGGCAGAAAGAGGTTCATTGCCTTGTAGTCGCCATGCACCAGGGTAGCGAAGTTGTCATGCGGAGAAGCTTCTAGTTGCGAGGCTACCCAGGGAGCCACGCTCTCGAGCCGCCGCGCAAGGTCTCGAATGCTTGGCTTCTTGAGCAAGTCTGTAGCATACGAAGTGAATGCTTCTATGTACGCGGTCCAAACTGGTTGCAACTGCCGCAACTCATCTTCGCCACGGCGCGATAGTGCCCAGTAGCAACCTTGCGCGTGCAGCACTTGCGATGCACGCTGCAGCAAGCCACGATCTTCCCATGCAGCCGCATGGAAGTTTGCCAACAGCTTGAGGCTTTGATTGACCTGCTGCCGAGTTAGAGGAGATTGCTGTCTGTATGCTGATTGGTTCACACACTCTAGCAATAACATCATCTTGCCCCTGCGCAGGACATCCTCAGCCTCACTACCTCCAGCATGGTCCAAACAATCCAACTGCTCCTCCACGAGTGGTGCACGCAGCAGAGGAACACCCCTCTGCAACAGCTGCGACGAAAAGTTCTTGTACCACCTCGCTTCGTTTCGGTTGGATTCCAAATCTCGGCGCAGTGCGTGCACGGTTTTGGCTGGCATGTGCCGTGCATCAACCTTCTTCAAGAAGAGCTTGGCAGCTTCGGGCCCCGATTCAAGAGTGAGAAGCAGCTCTACCGAATGCGACTGTGGCCACAACTTCTGCGTTGCGTTGTCAAAGCCAACCGAAGAGACTTTGTTCGAACGAAGAGGCTGCTGCCCTGCTTCCTCGGCCTGCTTCAGAACGGAGGACAACCACTCAGCTGACAGGTCCTGACCATCCAGTCTGGTGAGCAACGGCGACTGCGCGGCAGTGGCTAAGCAACGAGACATGCTCATGAGCTGAAGCCACCTTCTTGTGAGCGAAGACATGCTCGAGCCGAGTTCTGGCTGCTGGTGTAGGTTTCGTGCTTCAGGTGACGACACATTCTCCTTGCGGCCCAGGCCTCCGAGCATCCGGCTGGAGGAAGGAGAGCATCGACGATCCAGACGACAAGCATTTCGGCATGAAGCCTGGAGCCACTTGTACAACCTCCTAACTGCCCTTGACTACATACAGCGATTCCTGCATTTTTTCACTATTCAGGCAAGCGGCGCATTTCCGGAAGGCCTTGACAGACATGGACCAAACCGCAGTGCTGACAAGTGCGCCACACACCGCCTAACCTTGATGTCTTGGTTCAGTCGAGCGTCGCCGTCCCTCTTGAACACATGCAGTCACCCAAGAAGACGTGACCACATTGACACGCTTCGACCGCTTCTTGAGCTCTGCCCAGGTCTGATTTCCGGATGCGAGATTGTCAGCGATGACGTGCGTGACATGTGTGAAGCCATACTGTTCGTACACACCTGGTCAGTCGTGACTGATCTGCAACAATCCATGCAGTCCGAACTTCCACTCCACGCATGCACTTCCAGCTGTGTGCTTTCGCATTGAAGTTCCGAGCTGCCGCCGTGTTCCACGATGATGCGCTTGAGTTCTTGGTCTGGCAAGCATGTCCGGCCAGTCATCCAGAAGCTGAGACCTCGAAAGATCGTCGCTTTTCCAGTCTCACCTGTGGCATCGCCACGCATTGCCAACATGCTTTTTTCAAGCATCGAAGGCCAGGATTAGCAACGAAACTCGCCCATTTGCCTGAAGTTGCAGCAGCTGCTGCGAACTGCTCCTTGAGCTTTCGATTCTTTTCCACCATGTAGTCCTGAGGCAGGAGACTTGACTGAAAAACGCCAGGCCGCCGGTAATACCTGGTATGGATACTGCAGCCCAAGTTGCCCCGAATGACGCCTCGGTGTGCTGCGGATTAACAGTAGGGAAGAGGCAGCTTTCGCACACTGCCCGGCAAAGACTTCCGGAAATGTGTTCTTGGGCATGCATCGGACTTCTGCCGAGACACATAGCCACCCCCACCGAAGAAGCCAGACTGAGGCACGACATCGCCGTCCTTGCCGCCGTCCTTGTCGTCCTTGCCATTGTTGCCTCCTTTGCTGCCCTTGCCACCCTTACTCCTTCCCCATCCCATGGCGAGGCACTGAGCCTAAAGGCTTCGGTGCAGGAGAGCTGGACGTGCTGCGCTTAGAAGCAAGAAGCTGGGTTGAGAGACCAACTAGGAGTAGGTCCTGTGTCATTATGACTCTTCCGGACTTCTCCTTGCAGGCTTCGCACTTTCGACCTGTCAGGAAGCCGGGAGACGGAAATGGAACTGCTCCCGAACAACGCCTACCCTTGCCTTCTCTGATGTTGTTGATCGATGCAGGGGCCACAGTGGCCCCCTGAACAGTTGCTGGATGTGCACAGCCCAGAGCATCCGGGAAGCTGATGATGAAAGCATGCTGCTTGCCGAGAGTGATCATGCTGTCGTTTCCACATGGGCGCGAGGCGCCTTGCATAAACCATTGCTTTCCATGATGGCGTAGCAATGACCACCTTTATGCCAGGCTGGTAACTCAGCGATTAAGCTGTAGGGAACTGTTGAGAATCGGGCAAACAGGCAGACAGTCTACAGAAGACCTGGCACGACATGCCCAGCGCAGAAGAATTTTCCTGCAAATGGAATCAACTGATCTCAGCACTCTACGTCGCCCAAAGCTTCCATAAATTTGCTCCATCGGAGCCTTCTGCAGAACAGGGAACACTTGTCACCACAGCAATTGAAGCAAGAGGGCCTGCATCAGTGCACACGATGCAAAGGCGTGTAGCGTCCTGCATCACCTGCATTCAGGCAGAGAGGAACGCACACTCCTCTTCCGCCGATGGCAAGGAGGCACAGCGCGACTCCTTGAGGCCACTGGTGGACAGGCTGCTGTGTGCCTGAGAGTGCAGTTTTTGCAATGCCCAAGCCAGCACTGGAAAGGCAAGCTGTAGCGCGAGATGATTGAAACTTAAACAGCACACTGAGACAGTCTTTTTGTTAACGCATGAGCACTCATCCGAAATGCTCCATCGAGTGGAACACCTTCCCCAGCTGCCTGGCAAGCTACCGAAGACAGCTGCGAGACTTTCATGTCCTGCAAGGACCGTGAGATTAACTGCCACAACGTCTGTGTGCATCTGGGGGCGAGCTCATTGGACCCCGCATGAAGAATAATTGACTGGCAAGATGGGCATCCCTCGGCTATCGTCTGCGAGGGCTGCGGCTCCGATTGCGGCCTCCCTTCTTGTCGCCATGGGTCCAGCACTCCCCCTTGGAGCACCACTTGCAGCTACCTTTGGAGGAGCCTTTTCCGCCACCGCCTCGGTAGGGCCTCCCTCCACCACCACCTTGTCTGGCGAAGCTCCGAAGCTCGTCGCTGATGTGCTGATTTGTGCTCTCCATTGCCTTCGCAGGAAAACATAGATTCTGAGCTACCCCCCCCCCCCCCCCCCCCCGAGTCCCCATATGCCAGCATACGCTCTATGGAGGGACCTAAGACCTGGGTCCGATTTCCCCGAGACCGCAAGACGCACTGGCGCTTTGACTAGCAATGGCCACCCTCAGGCCACCTGGATGATCCCAGAGGCTTTGCCCCTGTCCTCATGGGAAAGCAATGTGATGGCGTAGCCTTTCTTTCCAGCTCGCCCAGTCCGCCCAATTCGGTGGATGTAGTCCTCCGAGTTGTTTGCCTGAGCCCGCATGCTTGGAATCCGAGCTGACATTAACGACGCGGGCGTTGGGCGGTTCTGGGCTGCACCCCAACATCACAGCCCTCTCCATGGAGTGCTTGGCCAAAGCCTCTTAGATCTACCCTCTGCAACACTTCAGGTACCTTGAACACACTGACTCAGCCACACATGCCGCGCATGATATGGTATTCATCCATGTTACCGCATCATAGTTGACCACCAGGCCTTCAGCTTTGCACGACTCACAGCACTCTTGACATGTGCCCAGAGGCTTAATGTGTCATTTCCTTGTCCCATGCAGCCGTGAAGCCAACTCCTTTGATGTCCAGGCCACGAGCTGCTACATCCGTAGCGACCAAAACTCGAAGACGGCCCTGTTTCAGGCCATTCAATGCCATGTCGCGTTCCCGTTGGTCCTGCATTGCATGTGCCCAGCGCAACAGAGGCAGCATGAGGCAGCCAAAGACACTCACGGTTCTCTGAGCGGCACTTGCAGGCACACGTCCTTGTCTCCATGAATCGCAGAGCAGGCTACATTACAGGCGTATAGCTGCCGCGACAGCTCCTCACACATCCTCTTCGTGCTCGCGAAGATCAAACACTTTCCAATGGCACCTCTGCCACATTGCTAGGGCCAGCTTCAACACTACCCTACCCCACAGGATGCTCAACTTCCTGTTATAGCCGCGCCTTTGTCCATCAAGCCTGCTTCCTGCAGCAACTCCAGGATGGCAGCTTTCTTTTGCGAACTCTCAACAAGTCGAACTTGCTGAGTGACATCCTGCATCCAGTCGTGCGCTTGGCTTTGCTATGGTGACGCAGTGACCGGTTTGCCAAAGCAGCTCCTGATTCGCTTTCAGCTCATCACGGTTTCCGATCATAACTTTGGCTGGCTGCCCCATCATCGTAGCAGCAAGCTGCCGGACCTGCGGCATACATGAATATGAAGAAACAAGGAGGAAAAACACACAGCGGTGCTATCGACTCTGGCACCTCCCGTGGCCAGGTTGCAGTGAAGAACATTGTGTGTCGACTTCTGGGGATATGCTGAAGAATTTTTTGGATTTGTGGCTCGAAGCCCATGTCCAGCATTCTGTCAGCTTCATCCAGCACCTCGTGGCAAGCTTCAGGGCTGCTCTCAGCTCTACTTCAAACCTTTCAAACCTCTCGAAAAGCTTTGATATCACAATCCAAGTGACCAGTTTTCGCACTCGGTTGACCTCATGAAATGCAACACATGAGCATGATCGTCGGGCGTGCATACATACATTCCCACGGCGATGGAAAAATCAACCGTTCGTATGCCGAAGAGCCTGCACCTGTCGCCCCTCAATGAAATCATTGAGGCGCCCCGGGCATGCAATGATGGCGTGGACTCCTTGCTGATACTTCTTCTGTTGATCCCATTTCGGCGCACCTCCATACATGGCAACCTGCAGAGAGCAACTCGATGCTGACTGCAAAGGCTGGCAAGAAGGGTTGCCCGTGTCCCCGCTGAAGATGCACGACTGGGGGCTGTCCACATCCCAAGACACTTGCCGAAGCGATTGGCCTCGACCTGTATTCGTGCGATCTTCGCAACTTCAGCTGGCAACAACTTCCAAAGGTCTCTGCTGCCAGAAAGCCTCGATTTGCTGCGCAAGCTCTCGGGTCGGCGACATTACCACGAGTCCAACGCCATCTCGCTGTGGTTGCAAGCCTGACAAGCTCTATACTCTATATCATGGCTAAGGCCAAGGCAAACCTACCAAGATCCTAATCGAGACAGCTGAACTCACCCTGAAGCTATGTAATGTAGATTCGCTGCAGCCCAAGCCTGACTTGTGGAAGTCACCTCGGCAAGCCGGCTAGCAGTCTCTGTTGGGACATTCACCGTGAGAATTCCCAGGTGTCAACAACCGGCTGACAGCTGCTGGAGCAAGACGCAGCATGTCGAACACTGATATGTGGGCTCAAGAAATGTTGTAAGTGTGCCTTCGGCATCCGCTACTAATCTATTGCCGCCACGGCTGCTAAAAGCCGGCAGCAGGAACGCCAGCGTCTTCCCGCTGCCAGTTGCTGCAATGCCAATTACGTCCTGACAGGCGCTCGGCTGCTCTGCGAATGCACTATCGCGAGCGATTCTCGCAGTGCAGGCGGCGTCCTTGCCATATAACGCCAAGGGCCAGGTGAAAGCCTGAATTTGAGATGGTGCGGGGAAAGACTTCTTCAGCTCGTCAATCAGCTTCTGGGGGAAGAACTGTGCCTTGGATGTTCAATGCCCTGCACACGTCGCAACACAAGGGTAACGGTCAGCGAATGCAGCTTGGAAGCACATTGGTCAAAAGACCAGAACTTGTGCAAAGGAAGAGGACCTGCACTTCCATCAAATAGTCGCCAATTCAACTCACGGAGACAACGAGTTTTGACAGAGGCAAAAAAACTATCTGCTGAGAAGGCTCGCTCATCATAGTCAATGACTCTGACATCCGTGTCCTGTCAGGGGCACAGCAATAAATCCCTGATCTAAATCGCTATACTGTCTGGCGAAGACCACACTCGAGAATTAGATCGACGCAAGCAGCAGCCATCAAGAGCTCGAGTCTTTCGACCGCGATGGTTCACAGACAAAACGTTTGCACCAGGATAGGTACAGACCAGCTGCTTTTTGTATGGCATGGTTCAAGCTTCATGATTTAATACTATTCCGACGTGGAAGAGCACATCCACTCGGCAGGCCTGAACAGTCTCGCCTGCAGAACCGCTGGCAGCTTCAAGACATGCCTCCGCTATGGACATCGTGCCTTGCGCGAACACATCACAGACTAGTGCGCGCACCGACAATGCGCCACGTGGTGGCCGCGAGCGGCCTATCAGAAACCGAGTCTCAAATCAAATCACAAGAACTGGGACGGTCAGGTGCTGCAGTTTCGGGACCGCTTCACTGCACGAAAGAATCGTCAGCAAAGCAAATCAAAATCATCCTTTCTCCAGTTCCGCGAGGACCCGGCCCGAACAAACCTAGCTGACTGCCGGCACTGCCTCAACATCCATTCCGAAATGTTTCCCGAGGCAAACTTTTCGGTTCGGAACGAAGCCCTTCGAGGATTCGAGTCCAGGCTGCGGCATTGGCCGTTGCATAATGACAGCACGACATAAAACGATGTAGAAAGAATCAACAGGTACTGTGTTCCATCCGAGAAACGCCCTTGCGAAGATTGGCATGGCCTGAGCATCAGGTCCTACTTACTTGGGAAAGGTCCGACAACAGCAGAACAAAGTCTGAGAGTTCTGATGTCCAAGCTTCCACCCGCTGCCGTTAGGGACCGGTGCGGCTGCTGGCGCTTGTCCCGGCCATTGAGGATACGCAGGAACCGGCCCTGGTGCCACCGGCTGACCGGGCTGCGGATGCTGTGGGTAGGCAGGGTACTGCGGTGGATACTGAGGCGGCTGATAGTGCTGGGGCGGTGGATACTGGGGCTGGGGATATGGCGGGTACTGCTGCGGCTGCATGTGCGGCTGCATCTGCTGCTGCATGTGCGGCTGCATGTGCGGCTGCATGTGTGGCTGCATGTGTGGCTGCACAGGTGGTGGTTGCATCTGTGGCTGTGGCTGTGGCTGCGTCTGCGCTTGGTACTGCGGTGGCTGCTCGGCAGGTTGCGGTTGGGCCGCCTGGGGCGGATATTGGCAGCCGTTCCAGGCCGCACTTGGGTCTTGAGGTGGATTCCAGCCGGCGGGAGGTGCAAAACCGTTTTGACTCCAGCCGGCAGGAGGCGCCTGAAGCGAAACCAAAAGCTCCGAGATTCTTTGCTCCCTAGCCTTGCAAGTAGTACCTTGATTGCAGACACTGGAGGCGGGCCTGCGCTTCGACTTGCACCCCGGCACACGGGGCGCAGGGGTTCATCGCAGCCTCGGGTCTCGATGCACTGCTGTCAAGGTGTTCCACTGCATCAAGGCCCGGTGCAGCCTGCGCAGGGTCCATATCAGGGGAATGGGATCGGCGACGTTTCACACCATCCTGGCGGCGAGCATCACAAAAGCAGGCCCAGTCGATGACCCACACAGCACGTTGGGGTAACGTCCCCGTCGTCAGCCTTGCTGGTTCGGAGCCAGCTCTTGTGGGCAGTACGTCACTGGCTCGAGCCAGGTGAACAAAAGGTGCCAGCAGAACAACAGCCCAGCGAGCCAAGACTGTTGATGACTGTGAATGCGGATGAAAGGTGATGAATGCACCCAGGACGCGGCTTTCAAGACCCAGGGTGTGCCCACCTTTGGAGAAACACCCTGGCTCGGAAAGCGACAGAACTTCTAGACAGCTGCATTCTGCTGCTCCTGCTGCAAGTCTTGCCTCAAGGCACTTCTCAACCTTGTACTCTTCTACCTGGCGGTGGGGAAAGCACATGTTCTAAGCACCGCCTCTGTAGACCAAAGCCTGTTCAAGCACAGAAGCCGTGAGCACCCCGTGGTCCCAAACCTGAAGCGCAGGTAGTTGTCTTGTACTTCTAGCTGCTGGCTACTGCAGACAACTTGCGAAACAAGGGCCTCCTTGAGGCTTTCCAAGCAACAGAACCTCGTGCGCAACTTTAGCAGTGCAGTCGGTGTTCGTTTCTATGCCCACGCCGCTGCATCGGCTTGGGTCCCGCGGTCTTTGCGACCAAGCTGCTCTCCAGGCCACGCATGTGTGACGCCACCTGCAAACTTTGCCTAGCTGTCCCACTGCAAAAAAGCCACAGACGGGCCTTGTAGCCACTCGCTGAGGTGTTGCAGCCAACCCGCCTCGACCGTTCTCACCTAAGGGCCATCCAGCAAGGTGCTCTTGCCAAAATTTCAATTCGAGCGGTCGAGCCATGTCAAGCTAAGTAAGTCTGTATAAGGGCGTCGGGAAGAACTGTGTTAATTCGATGATGGCCCTCACCGTACTTCCAGGCTTCCAGGATCTTCCCGGGCGTCACTGCTTCATAAAGCACACTCGCGCGGTGCTCACTACTGTCTGTCTCAGGCCCGCGCCAAACAGCTGGAACGATGGAGCCCCTGACAGTCGAAACCGAGTCCTTAAACCTGTTCCTGCAATGCATGCTCTGCCACTGTCTCGGAGTCGCGCCTTGTGGAAAAGTAGAAGCTGGCCACACGGAACGGGCTCTGTGCCTTCACTCAGTTTTGGAGCGTCCAGTGCGACAACTCGATTGCGCTAAACTGCTGGCTACTGGCAGAAGCAAGCCACTGAGCCGGGTGCTTCCATCGGCTCTTTCAACAGCCGGTGGGGCCAAGGCGCCACATGGGAAGAGTAGCGAGAGATATTTCACCACCTGCACGAGCTGCTTTGCACCCAAGACCGTCCATCGTGGCTGGGTCCTTGCTTGTATAACTGGCGAGCTGGCCGCCTGATGGATCTCGTCTTCCGCGAGATCATGCCGAACAGCAAACCGGGCAATGATGCCAATCGCCACGCCCAGCCTGCAGCTGGATTGCTCATACTCATACCTACTTGTCGCGAGTGGTAGTTCGTTTGTGTATGAATGCCCCAGCCGCTTCCTGCCTGAGCTGAAAGTCTTGTGGGTCGACGACATCGGGCCGCCTGCGACCAAAGCCAGTTATTTGCACAAACCTTCGTGTTGAAACGAGAGTTTGCAATTGTGGTATCGATCACTCCGAAACCTTACTTGCGGCCAGAACGCTTCGTGGGGTGCATGATCTGCAGTAGGAGTGATTTCAGCTCGTTCACCCCACCAGATGTTGCACCGGCGTGGATGTAAATCGCAGACATTTGCACCGTTTCCTGTACATGAGAGCGCTGAAACCAGTTCAGGCGCTGTGCTCAACAGTCGCAACATCCAGGGTGCGCAACCTGATCGTTGATGATCCCACAAAGGGACGACAACGCAGCAAACCTGCCGTACAGTTCTAGCTTCCAGGACGGAGTCTCGCAACAACATATAAATATCTGAGGCACCAACCATTGAAACTGATGCAGGGATACCCCGGTTTCGGTGCGAGCAGGAAGGCCCTGGCATTCGCCACGGAATGGCCGAAGAGCTGCTCAAGGCGAGGATGGATGGACCTCCTCCAAGCGGGTCTTCATCGTGGCTTTCAGCTTCATCAGCACTTCCTGGACACAGCAGGATCCAAACACATCGTGCACTATGCATGGTTTTCGCACAGACTTCAGCTGCAACAGGCAAGCACCGATTCAAGCTCTTCGATCTTGACCGACAGCTCAGTTCTGCATAACTTTTGAGCTGCTGTTGGCCTAGATCCACACTCAACGAACAGTGTGGATCTTGGACAAGGCTTCCAATGATTTGCGGCAGCATTGGCAGGGGAGGGCCGATTAGGTGGGCTGGGGCGCAGAATAAAATGCCTTCCGAACCCCACCTCCAAGTCGGCAAGGTATTGCCATGTATTGCACAAAAGTTCTCCCCGACGCAAGCCCGATCCCCCACCCACCATCCGCGCGACTCGCCATCACCCCCGTCCACCCACCTCGCTCCGGGAACAAGATGCCGAACCCGCTGACACAATCCAAATGAGGACGGGAAGCACTGCCAAAATACGAAAGCCATCGAAAGCCCCATACCCCTGCCAAGACAATCATGCAAAAGCCTTGCAGACTTCCTCACCGTCAAAGCCACTTCGCTTGCAGAACGTATACCTGGCAAAGTGAGCGACCGGTATGCTGTGACAGGCTATCTTGCATGATTTCGACCACTGACAGCGACTCTGTGTGCACTGCGCACTCGTCCGGCAAGCAGAAGCAGTCAATGCTCCTCGTGCGCATGTTTTGCAGATAACCTTTTTTGACTTGTCCCTACGGGCAATCTCAAGAGGCAGAGCTTCATGAAATCAGTTTGGCGACCCAGTGAGTTTCAACCGGGCCTGAAGTACTCAGCCCACTGTGCTGCCGCCTTCAGCTGATTTCTCGCAAGGCAGGGTGCCGACATGAGGCTGAAAGGCCCTGACGGAACTTACTTGACCACCTGCTCCCTCCTGCAAAGGATCATCGTAGTTCCTGAGTGTGTTCTTGGCTTCGACTTCGTGGCAGCCAGTCTGGAGTTGAAGCAGACTTGGCACATGCTGCAGCCTAGAGTCCAACGGCCTGCGCTGAAGTGAGCCTGCGGCGCCAACTAACGGACAGTGCTATGGCCCAGTTATGGCATGTAATGGCCACCGATCAGGAAGACAGCAACAAGTGCGCCAAGGGCCAGGCACGGCGAAAGGCTTCTGTGCATTTTTCCTGTAGATGACATCCGTCGTACCAGACCCAAATTACAGGACAGGCGCCCTAAAGCCCGATTGATCTGCACGCATCATGTACCCGTCAATTTGGCATATCACATCACGTAGCTAAGCTGGATTCCGGATCGAAGATTCCTTCGCTTGGCCTTGAAAAGCGCCGCAACACGTGCAACTGACTACTCAGCTCACACGTACTCACGAAGCCAAAAAGCATGCACAGATATCCAAACGCCAAAACAGGCCTACAGCAGTTCTGCACAATGATCAAGGCTGGAGGAAGAGCGCTGGACTTGGTGCAGCAGGGCACGAAGGCTGATGCATGCACGCGTAGCAGCTTAGAGGCATCAGATCCAGCCAACAATTGCCAAGGCTGGAACAACTCTTGCATTTGCAGCTCGCGCGAACTGCTCGCACTCCTGTGAGTCGGCCGGATGCAGCACGAAACCATGATTATGGCATCATGGCACGCCGACAATTTGCTTGAGGCGGAGCAACAGTGAGATGTCATCCCTGTTCAGGACTTGGGCTTCAGGAATGCAGCTTGAAAGTTGAGGGATATTGAGGGTGCTGCTCCAGGCTGGAGCCTTCGCGGTAACTTCAGACAGTTAGGGCGTGGCCTGACTCGATACGTTCACCGAGCTTCCGAGCTGAGGTACTTCAGATTGCTGCGAAAATCCTCGTTCTATGGGGAGGGGGTTCGGGACAATGGTGTTGCAAGTTTCGTCTGCGGCTGGTGCACGCGCAACAGTGGCATCACGCAACACCACGACATACCCCACACCACCACAGATAAGTAATCGAAAAATGTGCTCTTTCGGCAGCACTTGCAATGCTATGAGAGTACATAGGCCGGAACTCCTCCAAGGCCCTCCGACAAACCAGCTTCTCCTGTCACATAGACAGAGTCACGGTACATACAAGTATCATTGACATGGCTCTTCTCATGGCTCATCCCGCAGCCCGTCCCGAGTCAGGAACACAACGACCTCAGCGGATTTGCCCACCGATGCTGCAGCTGACCGCTTCAATTGCGATACCAAGGCAGGAACGTCGCACATCAAGTATGCAACGGCTGGCTGGAAGGACTCCTTGAGGGCCTCTGCCACAGATTCAGCTGCTCAATCAGCCTATGGCATGGTCCAGATCCGGCCTGACGGCGCTTTCCTTCCCAGGACGCGACATCGGCACACCGCTGCACCACCTCGCATGAACTGGGCAATTTGCTGTGCAAGCTGCACACCTTGCCAACCGATGCTCAAGTGCCCAGCATACACCCCTCTCATGCCTTGGCCATATCGGCGGCATAGTACTGCAATGGCAGTGTGCCGTATGTCCTCGCAGCATGGCAAGCCGCCATCTACATGGGCTCGGTGCAAAGTGCAGCGAGGGCAGGAAAGGGCTGGCTCACCCTTCGAAGTCCACGTAGTAGATCTGATCAACCTGACAGGACACTGGTCGGAAAGTCCACTGCCCGCTCCAGCGCAGACCTAGTAACTACCGCTATTTGAGCATGTGACGGGATCCAAGTATAAGTTAATGTCGGATGTCATAGACTGCAGGTCCACACCTGTCACAAGCAGGCACATTACATGCGCGATGCAACCCAGCCGAGGTTCAGCCTCCAGCAAAGCTCTGCTCGAAACGAGCTGGCTGAGCTGCTCCCTCACTCTGCAGCTTGCTAACCTGAGCAGAGCTGCGGGGCCGGGGCTGCGAGCGGCAGCCGAGCTTTTGCCGCGGCAGCGGGTTCAGACGAGCCGCTAGCCAGCTCTTCCCCGCCGAAGTAGCACCCACAAATCCAATGGCCAGCGCAGGCTGAGCGCGATCTGCCTGCAAAGGACGCTACGCGTCCAAGCGGCGAAGTCTCGCTGAAATGTCAAACGCACAACCGGACCTCCCGAACATGTCGGGCCCAATTCTCGGTGGCTGGCGAGAGCGTGTACCTCGTGCTTGTTTAAACGCGCATGCACACGTGTCAACTTGTGCAAGAATCCTGTGACATGCTCTTCCCATTGGCCTCTCGACACAGGTGGACAAGACAACATGATTGGATTGACTGGTTGTGAGCTTTAGCCCTCTGCTCTGCTCCGCAGACTAGGGTAGAATGTGGTTCTGAGCTTATATAACCCCAAGAATTGCAAAACAAGGTTCAATGGGTTCCGAGCTTAGGCCCATGCTATGCAGGAGCAGCTACAGCGAGACAAGTCTGCGCACCCTCTCCATTACACACACCCGTTCACTAGACCGTAAGTTCCACTGCTGAACGCAAGCTCAGAGTCGGCCTCTCTTGGTAACAGGGTTGTACACACGCACAATCAGCCAAAAAGGCTCCTCAGACAAGTAAAGGCGAAGACTGGCAATGCTGGCAGGCTTGAAGCACGGAGCGCTTGAACATGTTCGGAAAGGTAGCACAGTAATTGCCCGTGATGCCGCATTCCCACCGTTTAAAAACGAAAACACTGTACTTGTACAGTAAGTGGGGCCCACATCGAGGATTCCCAACACGGCAGGTTTACTGCAGCGCATTCGGTTCGCGGGTGCCGCAGCTGCGAAGCACGTCCTGTTAGTATCGACAATCACCTGCAGTTTGCAAGTCTAACACGGTCTGCAATACTTGCTGCAAATCCGACAGTCGCAACCGAGTTGAGCGGCGAGAAACGGTTCCATATTTGGGTTCGCCCAACCGTCTTCAAGGTTGATCAGACATGGCCCAGAATGGCTGTGCTTACCCAACATAGCATGTTGTGCTCCTGCATTGGCCGACCAGGGCCGAAGCTTTTCAATTCTGGGGTGCGGCAACTGGGGGGGGGGGGGGGGGTGGTCAGGGACCAAACAGCTCAGAGCCAAACTCTGCTGAACCGTTCGGGGCTCAATGCCATCAAATGCACAAGATAGCTGGACTGAAAGGGGTTCTGAGCATAGGCCCATGCTATGCCAAAGAAGTGGTTACAGGAAGGAAAGGCTGCCTCCTCTTCCCAGTTACGCCCGCTACATTGACACAGTACGGTGTCCATGCTGGGTGCTCGTGCTGAAGACATTTTCGGACGCGAGCTCCAAAGCTAACAGCGTTGTGCACGCACACGGCCAATATAGCCACACCAGGCTGCATGCAAAGCATTGCACAAAGCCATGCCACAGAAAGCTTTTCTGCGCACCCCGGCTCCCAAATCTTCGCCTAAGCAGCTTCACGTGGCTCGCATCATCGCCAAGCAGTAACACCAGGGTCGCCGCCGTCTTCGTGCCGCACCTCACATGTTGTCGAGAGTACTCCGAAGTACTGGTAGCTAAAGTCTGGAGAAGTTCGGTGGGCTGTGGCAGCGACTCCCAGGTCGGAGTTGGCACCAGGTTGAGAAGCCGTTGGCCGCCATCTACCTGACATGAGACTGCCACACGCCAGACATGGGAAGCGACACAGTGCCATACATGTGGAGTGTCTTTAAAACGGTACAGTATCTGCTCCTAGCATGGGGGCTTCCCGACACATCAATCACATCAACGCAGATCGCGGAAACGCGACTTGCCTCATGTGCTCGACTCGGTCGCGGCAATGCGACGCCAGGAACGGCCACATCCTGAGAGATGTGACCCCGAGTGACTGGTCCGACGGCGCTTGGAGGCGCTTGGTAGCGAGCAGGCACCCCATATCCCTCGGCCATGCGCCTCAGGCCTGCAGAGACTTCCGGCTTTGACTCTGAGAGAATTCCATCTCCGGCGACTGAGCTCGAGGCGCTTATGCCGGCTCTACCGCATGGGGTCTCTGTGGTCTAGCTGACATGCAGTACGGTGAGTGAAAATGCGTGCGCATGGCTGGCATGCTCAAGCTTCTTCGAAAGCGCTGGCACCTCGTATCTGATGAATGTACTGGGGCAGGGTCACTCCACACCCCTCAAACCTCCAAGACAGGACGAGCCTGAAGTGCCGTAAACATCTTGAATCAGCAAACGAGGTCTCAACGTGCAACCGCTCGTGTGCAGTCTGCAAAGAGACAGGAAGACAGCACTTCAGTAAAAGGTGCGACTCTTTCATACTCTTGCAATCAATCTTGGCGTTATTCAGGAAACGCACTATCCGAAGCAGCTGCTTCAGCAGGCGCTTTCGAAGACTCAACATGAAACTTCAAGACGGGGACTCTGGTCTAGTCCAGCAGAAAGAACCCGTTCAGCACACTCTGCAGCACATCGCCTGTGCGAGCCTTGGCATGCAGACACTGTCTAACTCTCACTGCACCGGTCCGGCAGCTAGCTCGGTGGTTCAATGTCAATGGAATCCATCAGCTACACATTCCAGGCAGTCCGCACATGTTTAGTCCTGCTTCTCGCACTTTCAGCTTCCAGCATGTCGTGCTTGACAGTCAAAGGGGCGTCCGTACTTGCCTGGAACATCCGAGACGTACCCTAGCCGACGCCGACAAGCGAGCTGTTCTTCCAAGGAGCGAATATTCTCGAAGATTTCGTTGACGGTGTGGCTGGTGCCTAGCCCCTGCAGGGACTATGCACATGCATCTGTTGACTCCTGTATGACTGAACCAAACATTGAGGTGGTTGCCATGGTGATAAGAATGAAAGCCGCGATGGCTGTGCATGGAAGGATTTCACTCCTGCGCAAGTGTCAAGCCAGGCATGCTTAAACTTGTGCGACAGACTCCGGGCAACGGTGTCCAGCCCAAGACGAAAATGCCGCGAGGTATCGAGGGACTCCTTGGCGCCCTTGGCATCATGACACCACAGCAGGGGCAGACCCGGAGCGTGAGAACACTGTGAGAACTGCACCATAGCACACCCCTACACCACGGACAAGATTCGACGCGTAAAGATGAGTGCTGCCAGGACACGATTGTTGTATCTCCAATCGGAATGATGTGGGGGCTTGGAGGGGTGGAACTGCTCTTGGCAACTCTTCCAGCTCGGGCCCCTGCCCGCTTGAGACCTCGCGAGGGTTGCTGAAGCGGACACGCAGCTGCAATCAGTCGCCCCGAAATGCTAAGACCAAAGCTGGAGTTGCACGCCGCTGCCTTAACTCAGTGTAGGCCCCACCGAAAGCCAAGAACCTTGTTCAGACTCTGACGTTTCTTCTCCACTTACCGCGCCCATTTCGCACGCACCTGCCGCAAAGGGGTGCGAAACGGAAGCTCGAACAGCAGTCAGCCGAACGAAGCTCATGTCAGTGGAGCGTCACTTCCCGTACCTTTTTCTCCACTGCACATTGCGTCTGAATGGGCCAGTCTTAGAGGGCATCAGGTGCATGCTTTTGAGCGCTTTCCTCGACTTGCTTCCCTGGCTTTCTCAGTCTCCTCAATCTCTTTGTGCCAATTCGGGTTGCCTGGATCCTTGGTTCAATGGGTGCCGGGACAGCACATACGAGTACAGTCATACAGTCATAGCTTCGCAAACCACCAAGCCAAGGTTCCTGCTCCTGGCCCTGGGCGAAGGTGCTGATCGCCATGTCGAAGCGCTTCAGGCCCCGAAGGGCAATGCCACGCCGGAACAGCGCCTTGGGCCACGTCGGGGCCAGCTCCTCGCACTTGGTAGCATCCTCCAAGGCGGCGCGGAAGTCCCCGGAGGCGGCGTGGGCAGCACTTCGGTTGGAGAGCAGTGTCTTCGAGAACTCGGCGTCTGCCAGCTCGAGGGCTTGCGAGTACAGGGCCACGGCTTCTCGGAAATCCTGACCCCGGAATGCCTGCACACACACGTGCATCTACACATTGCGAAACCAAAACCAGATGCTCGACGTTCACTTCACATGCGCTCTCTGGCAGCACCACTTACCGTGAACACCCTGACATCAAGACAGCATCTGAGTGCTGAAAGTCTTGCGGGTCTGCACTTGTCATGACTTTAAGAAAAACAGTGGTCATTAGCTAGTGACGCGGACGTCCGACGGAAGAAGGTGATGGCTTGGTTCTGTCCAGTGTCACAGAGCGACAGAATGAAAAGAGTCGCCTGATCACCCTTGCTCTTCAGCTCTGCGCTTCGTGGTGCCAGTGGTGCGGCGTCGCTGTCGCCAGCCATGGGCCCGGGCCATTTACATCCAAAGAAGCGGGTAAGGAAAAGAAAAATGCTTCGGGTCAGGTAGCCATTTGATGCAACGATTTCACACTTACCAGTCTAAGTCTGGAGTTGGGTCTAAGTCATAGATAGTGAAGTTTCAAAGCTTCACAGGAGCTTCAATCAACAAGGGAAACGCTGCAGCTTGCCATGCGACATGTGCCTACGCAAGATCTGAGTCAGAGTGTAATGCCGTCGAGCCAGCAGCTGACATGGTCGTTTCGGCTACTGGATGAGGCCAAGGCGCGCAAGTCTACAGGACTCAAGCAGGTAACGGAACTGCTGTGGCCTGATCTGACTGACATCTGCTCCGCCACGGCCTTGTTGCGCAAATGTTCGAACAGTCAGGTGCCACGAGTGCGTAAGATCACGACCAGAGCCCTTCTCGCCCCAATCCAGAAAGCCTTTGGCAACTGATGCCATGTCATCTGAGCCCCTTCCCTGCCCCAACGCGGCACATCGCGGCACGAGGGGGCCCCAGCAATCGGCAAGAGAAAGGAGATCGGTCCGCTGAGCAAGCTCCCTGCATCAGTCTGGATTTACACCTACATCGCAACCCCGACTGATGGACATGCCAGGGGCCAAGGCTGGATCCTGCAAACATCTCGAAAGGAACAGTGTAAGAGTCAAACCGTTTCTATCGCTGGGAGCATCCCGTCCATCCGACATCAGCGAGACATAGTGCGGTCTCACATCACGACATCAAAAGCCCAACTCGCGCGGCCTATCAACGCCAACATGTCGGAGAAGAACCTTGGTCACGAGCTGCGCTTCGCTCAGAGCCTGATCATACTGCCTCGGCGCCCAATCGCAGCTAGGGATCGGTATGGAGTTTGCGATCAAACAGCCAGTTGTGAAAATGAATACCTGATACAAACACGTGGACTCGGAACTGGAGCCCTGGTCTGCGGAAATGGGACATGGACGAATCGCACGGCTTTAGTGATGGCGCACCACAATGGCGCTAAACTCTGCCTGTGCTCGTTTGCCTCCTGGCCTGTCATAGGAGATGGAGCCGCAGCGACATGTCCGACTTCCGCTGAGGCAGTGACTCTCGAAAGCCGGTGTCTACCCTACTGGGAGCAAGACGCTCATGAAGGGCACCTCACTCGGCAGAACAGCACGACAAGCTGCAGTCAAAAATCTGAGGGTTGGACGACAGATCACGACATTCTTTACCAGGAATGCAATGGCCACATGCGCGAAGAGCAGAACTGATGCCTGGCTGACCGGCAGTCAACGTTAGAGACTTGGCATTCGGTGATACATCTATCTATTCAGGCATACGAGAATCGGGCTGGACATTCTCAGGGGGGGAGTCCCAACACATTGAACAGGCACCCAACGGTAAGGTTCTCCATCTGGCAGGTTGTCCAGGAAGTAACCTTCGGCCTGGCACAAGCGTGTCGTCACAGCGGGCTCAAGCGGGGCACACTCCGGCGATCCTTGTCGCCAGCAAAGTGATATCCTGAACGTATGCTCGACAAGCGCAGGGTCCTATTATGGAGTCACGAGTTTCTGGCCCCAGCATGCCACCAACAAATAGAGGAACACCTGCAGTCGGATTCTGGTGGTTTCAACGGATGAGCTCATACTTCCTGCCTGGAGCGGCGCATTGATGAGAAAGACCCTGGGAAAGTCCTCAGGCCTGCGGGCAAGAGAGAAGACCAGTGGAAACTTCCGAACTTCGTTCGTCAAAAGGCTGATGCACAGCGAAAATACTCAGAGAAGGCGCGTCTGCATGTCTGCCATCAGCTCGAAGTAAAGCCAATGGCCTGCAAACACAGCACGATACACTGCGAGGACTGCAGACAGAGCAATGACGCTGAAGCTTTTGAATAGCTTCTGCAGGCTCAACTCGCAGACTAATATGGCATGAGCCTGGATAGCACAGCGGCAAGACAAGCAAAGGACCGGGCCTGCATAAGAGTAGACCACATTGGAGGCTGCACCGAATACCTGCGTAGTTTGTCTGGAGTGACGCATGCTAACGTGCTACATCTGCAGCAGCTCTCGACAAGCGCACGGTCGAGAACGAAAGACCTTCTGCAAAAGCAAAGGTGTTCACCTCGGATGGTCGCCTGACGGAAAGACGTCCGGTGGCAATGCGTTTTGCCATGCAGACCTGCAGACTCTCACTGAACTCACATGAGTGTTGGGGCTGGCCCGTCCAAGTACATCTTTGCCATGACCTGGTTTTGTGCCAGAGACGTTTGCAGCTGTTGCCCACTTGCCTTCAGGGCATCTGCTTGTCCCCAACTGCTGGGTCTTGAGCAATTGCAAGGACTGCGACGATGAGGAATAAATTGAGGAAACAAAGGGCAACCTCAGAGAATTGCACAATCGGAACTCTGCCGTGTTGTGTTGAGGGGCCGGCACCGAATCGGAAAGGTGCCTCACAGACACCCCTATAGGAAGGCCTCAGTCAGCAGGAACTTGGGTCACAACGTGGCTCGACGCTGCCTTCCGGGCCGTGTTCCGGACACATGAGGCAGGAAAGAGCAGTAGCCGTTGGAAGGCACAGCTGGCTTTGGAAGAACACCCCCTCAGCAGGATCCGCTGAATGAGGTTTGTGCGAGACCTGTCTGCCATCAAGATTGCAGCGATCGAACGAACACCGAGCCTGCAGGCACTGCCCAAGGACCAGAATGTAGGAACTCTGGCCTGCCACTCACATTAGAACCACTAGCGGCAGCGTCCTTCTAAGAACAAGGCCGCGGCCGAGAAATGCGAATCCATAAACAGCGAAGTACGTGGCGGATGCAGCTTTGTCTCCGCCTAACGTCATCCGAGCGGCCTCGGATCGGCCAAGCAGCGAGTGAGCCACGTGCTCCAGGCCCCAGGCCACCGACCTCGCCCATGGATGTCGGCCGTGCACCTCTGCAACTGCTACGTTATTTCCCCAAACTACGCCAAGTATGCAGCTTCGACCTCCTGGTACTTTGGCCAAAGCACTCGCCGTCCTCCACATGCAAGAATGACTACCGAGGCCACAGGCACGTCCCCACAGCCGCCGCCTTGACATGAGGAGTGCCGTGTAAATGGCAACAGGGGCCAAAGCAACGATGAAGATGATGGTCCACACCTGGCTGGAGCATGTGTTCTCTTCTCCCCCTCTAGTGACTCTAGTTTTGCTACAGGCCAAGGCCAGCAGAGGACAACAGCAGTTCAGATTTGGCATCTTCAGACTGCACCCAATAGAACCATGCACAGGGGACCCATCCCAACTGCGCGGCAACTCCTGCAAATGTCAGCACCTTACACAATGCACTGCCCTCGATAGCTGCAACAGGGGCTGACGATGCTCATGCACTGGAAGCGAGTCAGGGGCCGAAGTGCCCACAATGTCCGTCAGCATAATCCAACTTGTACCTCACAAGCAGGTACCCAGCTTCCAGCATTGCCGGCCACAGCAGGAGAGGAATCCACAGGGTCACCCAGCCAGTGGCTACCTCGATGAGCTGACTCCATGGAGATGAAAGACAACGACATCCTGCTATGCACAAAACTGCAACTTGCGGCATCTACGACCAAGCAATTAGAACCCAACAGTGCCAGAAGCACGCTTCGGTGTGCGGTCGCAGGGCGTAACCTCCCAAAGCCTATCCGTGCTTCTCCTACCTGGAACAAACGACAGTTTTCAGAGAAGCTGTGCTAAGGAGGAACGATTAGCAGGACTTGGCATCAGGATCATCAACATGAAATTCTGGCCATATCTGCTGTTATTCTTCTTGCTGCGGGCAACACATCTTGTCCTGGCTTGACCCACAGCTTGCAAAGACACATTCCGTTCCTGCTTTGCTTCAGAGTGGAACTCGCAGCACATTTGTGACACGCACAGGCAAGCGACCCTTTCCCGCAGTCTGTCTGCAACAATTTCCGCAAATCCTTCGAAAGCCTCTCGGAAACGTCGGCAGGAAAGTGGCCATCAGCCTGGAACCACGCATGGTGCAAGGCGGGCATGGTTTTTGCTGAAGCAGTGTTTTGAAAAGCAGGCAACGCATCACACTTCATCATTCTAGCAAACTGTAACTCTGGCAGGGACGCTGAATTCACGATGCCAGCCTGCTGCGCACATGTTTTGCAGAAGCGGAGCTTGTAAAACCTGAGTTGTGCCGGCAACAGCGTCCAAACTTTTTCCCGGCCATCCGGCGAGCCAGGAGCGCCACAGGGAACATTTGTCATCCACGCACACTGGAGAAGCACAGACACTGCAAAGGGCTCCCAAGCAGATGCTCTGAACCTCAAGCATCCGAAAACGCCGTTCGGCTTCATCAGATCGCAAGAATGAAAGCTTCTCGGCTGCTGACAGACCCGTATTCTGCCGGAGACCTTCGGTTGCGAAACGGCTAGAACAAAACCGATGGGAAAGGTGACGAAGAAGATGAAGATGACGAAG